ATATTTATTGCTCTCAGTCCTCAGCTAGATTCCTCCCCACTCCTGCCAGAAGCAAAGCAGAACAGGATGGGGTTAATCATGTTGAATGTCTAATTGTGTAATCTCCTTCTCGGTAATTCCACCGGCCAACTTTGCTAGTTATTTCACTCAGAGAAGAGCTAGGTGAGAGTTGCAGGTTTTAACTACATCTTTCTGTGTCTCCTTCTCACAAACTTCTGTTTTCGCACATTTCCTTATATTCTGCTTTTCTTCCTAGTGGGAGAGGTGGCTGAAAGCCAGACCGGGGCATCCTTAATCCACTACTGACTGGCTCCACAGAGGTGGGACAGTTGAGGAATGTCGTGGGCTTTCTCATACATCCTAGGAAACTCCTGACTCGCACACACTGATACAAGACAGACTAAAGGCAGTTTGTGTAATGTCATACGCGATCACAGCTACACTCAGCAAAGGATCTGGAGAAGCAGGGACACTTCAGCCTCTGCCCCAATTGCCCTCCGGTGGAGCGCGGAGGAAAGTACAGATGTTTACTCCTGGCCTTGATGAAGAGAGGTGTCCTCATTTAAGCCCCTTCCTGTTCCCATGGTGTAATTACGTACTTCACCATCACAGTTTCTGGCCGCCAACATGGCAATAACCTGGAGTCCATAGATAAAAATACCATCAAGTGTATACAGTTTAATGTTTAAAAATGGCTGGGTTTAACAACTGTCTCACAAAATTCTTGAAGAATCAGGAGGAAACAACTTGAACGTACACCAGAAGAGTAGCCAGTGGTGGGGCAGTAAATTGGGCTCCTTTAAATTCGTGTGTACTGGTTATACCAAAGCAGCGTAAGTCTGTGTACCAGTGAGCTTTCTCATCTCGGGGACACAGCGTCCAACACCCAGAGGACAGGCGTAGCCGGGCACACGTCTCAGAGGACTCAGTCTGTGGCCAGTGCACTCCAAGGCAGGAGCAGCACAGCAGGAGGTGTGGTATAGCAGAACTGCCTGACTCGTGGTGGCCAGGAGCAGAGTGAGGGGCACAACATGAGAGAAGGGAAGTGCAGGGCCACATGGAGACCCCACAGCCATGCCTCCTTGGCCCACCCAGAGACACCCAGGAAGGTGCTCCACCCATCCCGAGCAGATCCCGAAGCCATCCAAGCCGACACTTCGCTCGAACCACCACAGCAGGCTTGAACGTCGAGCAGATCTGGGTTCAGATCTGTGGTTTCTTACCCGGTTGACATTCATCAGCAGGGTTGGTCTCTTGGAAACTTTGTTTCCTTATCTAAAACACTGAGGACCAATCTTTACCAGATTGTTTGGGGATTTCGTGACATAAACTAGTCATTGTCTAAGAACATGAAAGCTCTTACTATTGTCTCAGTCTCCTCTAGGGAGGTCACATAAATCCATGCTTTTGGTTACTCTGATGGTGGGCTCTGCTCCCACAGCAGAGTCCACAAGTCCTACAAGTCAAGGTTCTATGCATTTTCTTGCTATTTGTAAACTTTTCCTTTTTTGTACCGTTATGGCATAAGGAAGAATGAAAATCTGTTGGATTAAAATGACAGAGGGAAGCCACAAACAAATAGAACTGTGTTCTCTTGCGACGCTAGGCAGAATTAGTGTTGGAAAATTATAGAAATTTTAAAAGGGGTTGACAGCTTTTGGTATTTACAGAAAATTGTTCTTATGGCTATCTTTAATCTTTTATTCTGATAGGTAAGAATCACATGCTTTAAGGGGTTAATCTTTTGATTACAAAAACACAATAATCCTCAATTACATTTCCTACCAGATGGATTTATTGGTTTAAAGAAAGAACTCGTACCCAATTTATTCTCTCCATTGCTTTCATTTCTTAAAAGCTAATTTACTGTGTAGATGGATCTTATGCTTTTACAAAGGTATTGATTACTGTGGAAAAAGCAAGATCTCATGAAATAAATCACTGCTGACTTGATGAGATGATATGGCATCGCTTTTGTTTCTCCAAAAATTATTTCTCTTGAAGATGAGCCCCAATAGAGACTTTTGTTTCATTTTGTTTTAGTAAGGAGCCAAAAAAAATAAAAAAATAAAAAAAGCGAACATGCCTGTAAAATGCAGAGTCGCTTTTGTACCTGATAAAATACTGAGGCCCGAGCTTGATGCTATACTAATGTACTGTGCTATTGATTGATTAGTCAGGGCAATGAATTATTATGCCCGAATTACTCTTTGCAAGGCTTTTTAACTATTTTGGAAAACAAACTAACAGCTCAAGAAAAAGCTTTAAAAATAAATGGGTGGCAAAAGGACATAATTCACCATCTAAGCAGTTCAGTTCAGAGAAAAAAATATATTAACTTCATCTAGTCCTCGGGGCTTTGTAGCAATAAATATTGATTTGATATGAAAAATAGCTATCTACTGTAGATAACAGCGCTAAGGACACTTTACCTGTTAAGAGAGGGAAAAGGCAACAAAATATGAGCTCTCCGGTTCCACCAGTGAGTGGATCCATTGTGTGTTAATGGCTGTATTTATAAAACACCACTTGCTATTGACTTTTCTTTATGGCGGAAGCAGGTACAAAGTCTCTGAAAAAGCATTTACCATGCTTCTGTTGGTTTTCTTTCCAGACCCAGGACCCGTTCTTTCCTGGGTTCCAGTAAGGCCAGTGTTTTGTTTTGGTTTTACTCCCATTAGCCCCAGTAGAGGCACGCTTGCCCCCCCGTGAGACGGCCCTGCTAGGTCATGTGCTTCCCTCCCAACAGCGCCTCAGTACCAGGTGCCGTTTTCTGTGGAGAGCAACGTGTCCGTGGTGAGCCTGGACTGGAGTGGCACCTTCCTCCTGAACGGCCAGCTCAAGGAATACGTGGTGACCGACGGGGGACAGCGCGTGTACAGTGGTCTGGACACCACCCTCCACATACCGAGGACAGCACACAAAAGTTAGTTTCTGACTCTCGCCTCTCAGGAGACAAGGACTGCTGTTCCCCACCTTGACTGGGCCTTGGGTCTGGAAGGGGACCGGCAGGCGCTGACGATTCAGCTGTCTTGGTTTGAGCGGCTGCTTCTCATGGGAAAGTGCAGCTGAGAGGCAGTGAGGCTCCCCTTCCCACTGTGGCCTGGTGCCCCGCAGGGACAGTGCACTTCCAGGGGTGCTGCCTGTCTCCTGTGTCACACGTGTCCCTGGGAAGGAACAACACAGGTTGAGTTCATAAAAGAAGTAGCACCCTCATATAGTCAGTGAATAGCCTAAAATAATGCAATTTTTGGGACTTCAGCCTCTGTAAGGGCCTGCCCTAGTGCTTGCTCAACTTCAGTATCTACCCCGAATGAACAACACTTTCTCCTCTTTAACTGTACATCCTTTTCCCCTGTCCTTTTTCCAATACTGGGAATGAACCGGGGACCTTCCCACTGAGCGATATCTCCACTCCATTATTTTACTTTATTTTTTTATTTTGAGACAAGGATTAATTACATCACTAAGTGGCCCGGCTAGGATCAAGCTTGTGATCCTCCTGCCTGGGTCTCCCCAGAGTGCTGGGATTACAGGTGTCCACCACCACACCAGGCTTTGTCTTGGCTTTCAAAGACAGAAAGGAGAAAAAGCTTTACATGGCACTAAGGAATTTCTAGTAATCACCATGGTTCCAGGCCCAAAGGCCATGGGATCATTCTAAGCTAAACCATCTGGCTTTGTGCAATTGCTGTTGCTCCTTACTTGTAAACAGTAGTTTGTCTAAAAGCGGTAAAGAGCAAGCTCTAGCGTCAGCTTTATAGTGAAAGTCAGTGATAACACTTCCTGGTGATCCACAGTTACAAGTCCAGGTCACTGGGCAGTGGCTGTGATGAGAAGATGCCCTGAAACCTGTGTCCGCCTGACCGGCTCTCACCATCTGAGTGACGTTGGGAGAGGTCCTGGCTCTTGCAAGGGAATTTAGATCCTGTACTTCTAATATTCCTTTTGAGCCCTCTTGTTAAGTAAAAACTGTGGGTTACTTACCGGAAGGCACACCTACTAGTTTTAAAGGAACAAATTTGGGGGGCTGGAGAGATGGCTCAGTGGTCTAAAGCACCTACTTAGAACAAGCTTGGCAAGGCATCAGGGACCGCGGTTCAATCCCCCAGCGCCACATGCCAGCCAGGGCCGCCCCCTGGTGGGCTGGGCTGGCCACACACACACCACTCTCTCTCTCTCTCTCTCTCTCTCTAATAAATAAATAAAAAATAAAAAATAAAAAAAAAAATAAAGGAACAAATTTGGACCACATGCAGAATAAAATATATGATGCCTTTTATCCTTCTCTTCTGAAAATTCTTTTCTTTTGCTGTGTAAGTTCTAATATCCCTTAGCTCTGTTTCTTATGGATAGGCTTTTTTTTTTTTTTTGAACCGGGGATTGAACTCAGGACCTTGCGTTTGCCAGGCAAGTGCTTATTCTGCTGAGCTATCTCCTCAGCCCATGGATAGGCTTTTGTGTCTTTTTCATTAGAAATAAGTTTAAATGTTTGGTCTTAACTTTCTGTGACTGTAACAAATATCTGAAATAATCTGCTTAGCAAGAAAAAAGGTTTATTCTGGCTCCAAAGACACACCCCCAATGACCTAAAGTCATAGCATTAGACTCCACCTTTTAAAGGTGCCTCTCTTTCCAGTAACATCACTCTAAGCCAGGATATTTAGCACCCAAACTGTGGTATTAGGTACAGCCTCACAACCTGCTCTGAACGGCTCTCTTAAGATTTTTCATGGTATGCATGACACATTGGTTTTCTAAAACTGTGTCCCCTATTTTTTGACATTGAGACATTTACCAATAATTTCTCTTGTCCAGCCTTCTTTTTCCAGGTAACCTGCACCACGGACGTAGGAAGTGTTAAGACACCGTTGATCCAATATGACACTTCTACTGGATTTGGTACGCATTTAACCTAATTGTGTTTTGTTTGTTTGTTTGTTTGTTTTTGAAGACAGGGTGTTGTGATACAGCCTAGGCTGGCCTTGAACTCTCAGCAGTCCTGCCTGAGCCTCACAAGCACTGGGACCACAGGCATGTGACACCACGCCTGGTGTTGTCATGTTTGTTGTAGCATTTCCTCATTTTCCTTAAGAAACATGCATGTGTTTGTTGATACACACTTGTACTTGTTGCACTGACCCTAGGGAAGGAATTGAAGTAAGTGCTATAAGTTTCCTTTTCAAAAGCCCTCACAAAATTACATCAGGCAAGTGTCGGGATGTGCTTTTGTAATACATATAAAGCCACTGACTTGTAAATGTGGAAAAGACTCCAGAGATCTAATCAAACTTTTCTCCTGCCCATAATTCCTGTTTTAAAAACTTGTTGTATAGAAAAAGTGATTTGTAAACGAAGTCAGAGGAAGGAGATGACAGGAAGGGAAAAACTGTTCTGCCAGGTTATATCAACCCTAATAATAGTCTAGATTCAGAGCCTAAAATGGCAAATTTGGAAAAGTGTGTATCCTTTATAAAATATTATGACTTACTATAATCCCAAGCCATTTGACTGCAAAGATGAAATTAGAAATTAAGGATCATCTTTTAAATTTAGTTCAGGCCACAGTCTCTGAATCACTATTTTATAATTTCAAAAGGCAAGTTAAAAAAATGGCAAAATCTTTTCCATTAGAACAGATTGGGCACTCATGCCCTATTTTAAATTCCAGTACTTAGTGTTACAGCAAATTAGTAGACACGTACACTGTTTTTGAAACATAAACATGTCTGAAACGCTGAAAGATGGGTGAAATAACATAGTTCTCAAAAACAGTTCCAGTCTGTAGCGCCCAGTTCTGCTTCCTGACCTGTGCACACTGGAGGCCTGGTAGAGTCTCCTGCAGTACCCAACACTTTTCCTCCCACACAGCTGGGCTCCTCTTATTTAATAGCACGGTGACATCGAAACTATTTCATTGGCAATTGCTTAGGGACTCCAGTGTTTCCAGAAGTGGACAGCAGGGTCTGAGGATGCAGGAATTCACACCGGGATGGGATAGTCAGCAGTTCTTTGAGAAGATGACAAGTCCGGTGCGGCTGTCCTCTTGACTCTAGCTCTGGTCTTGCTCTTTAGCTGTGGCTCTGATTCCAGGGCCATCAGAACCAACGCAGTGCACTTGGGCATTACAGTTTCTTCATCCCTAGCAGAGACGGAGATAAGGGATCTGCTCTCCCATTGAGTCCTGCGCCGTGGCCAAGGAGACACCCCAGTGACCCTGGGAAGGGATCTGTGCTTTGACACTACCCACAGCTGGGTGTCCTATGGAGCTGAGCCCCAGCCCTGGAGTTCCATCCCAAGCACAGTCCTCCCATTTGGTGCTGGATACACACATCTGAAGCCAAAGGGTACTTTGCAAAGAGAAAAGGGAAGGGTTATGGAGATGGCATCCTGATCTTAGAAGAGGAGAAACCTGCAGTCAGCTCCTGAACGGGAGCCATCTCCCGCCGCAGCACACGGTAGCCCCCGTGTCTGCAGGCTGAGCTCTGAGCCTTTCCAAGTGGTGCTGCCCAACTGATAACCAGAGTCAGCTTTAATTTGTATCATCTAACTTCTGAAACACTCCTGCTCACTAGCCTGGGGCCGCCTCCGAGCAGGAACGCAGGAACGAGCCTGGGACTTCATTTCCCTAACTGTGTGCGGGCCGCTTGCTCTGAGGTTTCCCACAGGCCCAGCGTTGCCCTCCCAGCCAGCACCCCTGAGCCCCCAGATCAGCCCCTGGAGTCCCAGCCTGTGCTGCGCACAAGATGCTCAGCTCCTGGGGCGGGGTAGAGGAGTGGGGGGGGGAGCGCTCAGGGCTGCTCTGCTTTGACTCAGTCAGCACACATCAGTACCTAGGTTCCTACAGGAGGATTTCCCTCCTGCGGCGCTTGAGCACAGCTGTGGCTCCAGATCCTCTTTCCAGAGATGAGGAGGCGGAGGCCCGAGGAGCCAAAGTGACATCTGCAATCATCCACTTAGCCAGAATCAGAAGTAGGGTCAGCAAGGACGTTTCCCTCATGCTATCACGGAGCTCAAAGTTCAGTTCTAGCCACTTCCTCGTTCTCCCTTTGGCCTTTTCCCCGCTTTCCAGCTCTCCTCCATCCTCCCCTGGACCCATGAGTATGAGGCACCCCCCGGATGCCACGCCCGTGGGAGGCTGACCACAGGGCTGGGTGTGCAGAGAGCCAGCAGGGGCTGCACCTGCGTCTCTCTGGCTTCTGCCTCCGGCCTTGCCTTTCCAGGGCCGTCTTTCTGCTCTCAGCCTCGCGCCAGCCTGAGCGGCAGCTGCGTCGGACCCAGCGAGGGGCCACTGGGCGGGACTTCCATGGGCCCCCGCCGGTGGCCCCCACGCTGGCCCGCGGAGACCCCATTCAGCTCCAGCTTGTCCTGTCTTCCCTGTCTTAGTTTCTCACAACTGCCACGCACTGAGCAGGGTTCTCTCGGCTCACTGTTACCACGTGGGCTGGTAGCGCGGTGGGAGCGTGGTGGGAGGGCTGGTGAAGGACAGCTGCTCACATCATAGTGACCCGGAATCAAAGGGAGGTGCAGAGGAAGGAGACGCCTCCCGGGTCACGCCCCGGGGACCCACACAGAGTACTCCTGCGCTGACCGCCTCCCCCAGCCCTGCTTCTGAGGCACAAGGCTTTGTGGAGTCAAAACGCAACACAGGGTCCCAAGCACGAGGCTTGAGAGTCCCGCTGCCATCCGTCCTTGGTCCCTGGGATGCCTTCAGCTCAGAGCAAACGCTTAGTAAATGTAAACAGCTTTTGCTTTCCGTGAAGTCTTACAGATTTTCAAAAGAGAACAGAGATCAAGAGTAGGTGGTTCCACTGTCGAAAGACGGATTTCCGCAGAGCTCCCCAGGCCGCTTGAGCAAAGGTTTGCAAAGCTATTCCTATTTAACAAGAGGCCAGGGACTAAGACCTGGGAAGACCACACGTTCATAAATGCAGGCTTCTGGCTTCGCTGTGAAAATTGGGATCTGAGGTCTCAAAAACGAGCATGCCTAAAACTTCTCAGGAAGGGGCTGGTCATGAGTGTGGGGACCTCGCGTGTGGATCTCGCTGTAGCACTGACCTGGGCTTGGCAAGGGACTTGGCTCCCAGGGCATAGGGCCGGGAAATAACCCTCGAGGTTACTGGAGGTTGGCATTTGAACCCTGCTTGCCCTGCTGTCTTTCCCAGGGCCTTGGGAGGCAGTAGTGGTTTCCAACCCAGCACCAGGGCCGTCAGCTGGATGACACCCCAGTGGGACCTTCCGCCAGCGCCCCAGCCTGCACACAAGTGTGAACACAGCTTCCAACTCACCTCTGATGTATTAACAGACACAGGGCGTGAGAAGCCGGTGCTGCTCTCTGAAGTAACACCTCCCTTTCCTTTCTCTGCTCTGTGCAGGTCTGGTGCTGACAACTCCTGGCGGAAAGAGGGGGTTGGGGAATAAAAGCGGAGAGTTCTACAGTGAGCTGTGGTTCATCGTGTTAATGGCCATGCTGGGCCTGTTCTTATTGGCCATTTTCCTGTCCCTGATACTACAAAGAAAAATCCACAAGGAGCCATACATTCGGGAGAGACCACCTCTGGTGCCCCTTCAGAAGAGGATGTCACCTTTGAATGCCTACCCTTCCGGGGAAACCCCAGTGGTAAATGTGGACGGGGTGGCCCTCCCTGTGAGACTGGCTTTTCTTCTGGGGGCAGGCGTTTCCCGGCCATAGTACCAAGGAGCTAGAAGCCAGCTGTTTCACTAATGTGAGCACTCAGGGGTCTCACGCTAGCACAACTTCCTCTGCTTGGGCTGCAGCATCCACCTGGGGAGTCTTCAAAACCCCACTGACCAGGGTGTAGCTTACCAATACAGCATGTGCTTAGCATGCCCTGAGTCCTGGGTAGAATCCACAGGCCCCAAACCCAAAAACATTACCAGTGGCTGCATCCTGGAAAATTCGATGGTTCATTGGTATTTGGTCAGGCCTGAGGGTTAGTGATTTTTTTTTTGTTTGTTTTTACTCCCAAAGTGATTTTAATGTGTTAAGCACCAACAATGCATGTTTCTGCCCTGTACTTGTTAGTGAGAATGGTGGAGAAGAATTATGTTTTGAAATGACCTGGAAATGTACCAGTGACATGGCTGTGGAACTGGGAGGACCGGAAATAAAAAGGGAAGAGAGTGTTGGGCATGGTGGTGCACACCTGTAGTTCCAGCACTTAGGAGGCTGAGGCAGGATTGTTACAAGTTCAAGGCCAGCCTGGGCCACACTGTGGATTTAATTCCAGCTTGAACTACATAGCAGAACACTGTCTCAAAAATAAAAGGAGGGGGAGAGAGGAGAAGGGGCTGAAGTGCTTAATCCATCCTGGGCTTCACAGCCCATGCCACTGAGGGTGGACCTCCCAGCTTTCCACTGCCCACTCCCAAGTCAGGCCACAGCCACACTAGATGAGGGCCCTGCCCGTGAGACTGTGGCACAGGCACAGGGGCCGGAGCTCTCTAAATTGTATTAACATTTTCCTAGGTCACATGGTACACGTACGCCCAGGTGTGGGTTTTCTATGTAGTGTAGCTACTGGTTTGGAGATTGACATGCTGCAAAACTACACAAATAGTGCCCTAACACTGGACACTGCAGTGAGTCTCCTCTCATCCTGTGGTTTTAATTGGAAAACCCGAGTGTGTGCATATGTGTGTGTGTGAACGATTATGTTGTGATTGAAGAAACACAAAGAAATTACTTAAAACTTGTAAGCAAGCTCTGATGTCCCCATTTTTCCTCAGTTTGACTCTGTGGCTGATATATCTGATGTGTCGAGCAACGTCACCCTAAAAAGTTACACCATGCACTTTGAGGTACCTCTTGTATGCCGTGTGGATGCATGACCTCTTGCATGGTGTGCTGAACACTCACCGAGATGCAGGCCTCCTTTATGGACTGACCAGTTTGATGAGACCCCCACATTAGAGCAGCTGGGTTTACCTTAGGGTCCATTCTAAGTGTTAGTCATAAAGTAGCTTTTCTTGCTGATGTTAATATTAGAATAGACTGGATTTGGCAGACTGGAATCCTATAACACCTAGTGAATGAGAAGGTGGGAAAGAGGAGTCAGTTTCCTTGTGCTAGTCCGGGACACCTAAAATGAACTCCGATGCTGCTCTCCCAGGGGCAACCACAAGAAACGCTGCTCTCTGCTGTGGGGAGGGGTGTCTCCAGGGACAGCTCGGTGTAAACATGCATGAGCCAACACCCCACTTGTTGGCACTCCCTTGGCCCCTCAGAACAGAGGCCCAGCACAGGATACCAAGGGTACTGGCCACCTGACACCAGTTACCCAGGTACCAGGCCACAGGGGTCAGGGGCTCACAGGCAAAAGCAGAGTAGACAGTCATTCCTCTGGGGCGACAGTATGTGTTGCGAATCTCCATCACAGTCCATACCCATTTTCCTCCTGTTCATCACCAACAGCCTCTTCCTTTCTAGGGATTAGCTGATACCAAAATCCCTCGGTCAGGGACACTCGTGAGTACCCGGAGCAACCGCAGCAGCATGTCTGTCCTGAGGATCCCGAGTCAAAGCCAGATCAGCCGGACCTACTCCCAGGGATCCCTGCACCGCAGTGTCAGCCAGCTCATGGATGCTCATGACAAGAAAGTTCTACTTGACGACTCACTGTGGGAAACCATCGTGGGCCATGGTGGCGGACTGGTGAGTGGCTCCCAGGACCTTGGACATCCCACAGCTCCTGGCGTAGCACCGTGTGCTGGCCCTCCCCACACACACGTGCACACACCTGCACATGAATGCATGCTCACACATGCACACACACACATTCTCACACACAAGTGCACACACACACAGACCTGCATATGCAGGCATGTGTGCGTACATACACACACGTGTGTGCATGCAGCCATACAGCACTCTCTGAGCACCCACCCAGATGCGGGGACAGACTGCTGTGTGACTGCAGGTATTTGCAAGCAGGATACTTTGTTGCATCCTTCTGGTATAGAGACTCTCACAGATAAATGCATGCAAAGAAAAACCAAAGCTACTGCTATACAGTTGCATATGGAGCTAAGTGACTGGGAGAACACTGAAGTCAACTTCAGACAAATTGAAACCTTGTAAAATCCAGGTCCTTAGAAAGCAGTGTAGCATGAGAAATAAAATACCCCATCAGCTGCTCCCAGCTCCGCAGCTAGGGTAGGGGAGCTTCTCCTCTGCAGGTGTGGGGTGCAGAAGTCCCCTGAAATGCTATCAGCACAGATGTTGAAATTTCAGTTACTTGAAAATCTGAAGTCCTTGCAGGCTTGAGGGCTAAATAGGTCAGGAGCTTGGAATCTATAGAGCTGCTCTAGGGGTCAGAAAACTGCAGATTTCCATCTCTGGGTCCCAGAGAGTCCCTTGTGTGAGCTCAGTGGTGTCACCCAGAGGGGTACAGAGCATCTATAAAAACCCATGGATCAGGGAGTCCCTCTGGTGAGACTGGAGCCATGGCTGGGTTTGTGTGGTTTTGCTTGGATGCCAGGACCATGGCTTGGGAATGGCTGATACATCTGATGTATGGCACTGGGCTAGGGAGGCAGCAGGTGACATTGCTGTGAGCCCCACTGCAGCCCTGCCCCTGGGCTCCCAGAGTAAGTTCTGGTAGAAACTGCTGCAGCTCAATGAATTTTGCCCAGAGCTGCCCTGACCCCCTTGCTCCTGCGCATCTTTGGCAAATGCTATAACTTGAGAGGAAATAGGCCCCACCTTCACCCACTGCCAGGTGCATCCCCAGCCCCCATCTGAGGTCTGCTGTCCAAAGGAAAGTCAATGTCAAGGTCCATTCCTGGAATTCCAGCACTAAGAGGCTAAACAAAAGAATCCCAAGTTCTAGGCCAGCCTGGGCTATAGATCAAGTTCAACTCAGGCTTGTCTGAAAAAACCAAAAACAAAAATCTGAGAATGATTTTTTTAAAACTTCAATGTGATTCAAAAGAATATACGGGAAGAAAAGGAACATAGGAAGACAATGTGTGGTATGAATGAAAACTTCATTGTAAATAATTTTGAATTGAACAAGTGAGAAATCTTAAAAATGCAGAGCTCTAAAGCCAGATAAAAATGCAATTAAAAACCTTAACAACAGACTAGATTAAGCAGAAGAAGGAGGTTGGAGCTTAACAACAGGTCTTTTGAAGTATCAAGTTCAGACAGAAAAGACTGGGTGTGATGGCATGCACCTATAATCCCAGCTCTTGGGAGGTTATAAACAGGCAGATCACTATGAATCCGATCTAGTTGTGAGACCCTGAACACCCTTTAGATCCTTCCCTAAAAAATACAAAAAAAAAAAAAAGTGCAGACACGAATCTTAAAAACTAAGAACGCAAACTATATTAATCTTCAGGATACCATTAAAAGATAAAAAGGCTGTATCATTGGCATACCCAAAGCGGAGGAAATAAAAGTTAAGGGCATAGAAAATGTATTTAATGAAGTAACAGCAGAAAACTTTCCAAATCTTGGGACAGACATGGACATCCAGGTAGAGGAATCCTACAGCAACTCCATATAGAAATGATCTGAAAAGAACCCCACCATGACATTTATTATAGTCAATGTGTCAAAAGTGCAGGAAACAGAAAGAATTTTAAAGTATCCAAAAGAAAAATACAAAGTCCCATTTAAGGGCAAGCCAATTTGACTTATAGCAGAAACCCTACAGGCCAGAAGGGCACAGAATGATTTATTTTAAGACCTATGAGAAAATAACTGCCAACCAATACTATTTGACTATTTGCTGAGAATACCATACTCAGCAAATAGTCATCATGAGAAATAAAGACCTCCTAAGACAGCAGAAACTGAGGGAGTTCACTACCATGAGGACAGAATTACCAAAGACATGTAGGGGAGTCTTGCAACCAGAAGTGGAAGAAAGGTAACTACTATCATGTTGGCGTACAGCTCCCACTGGAAGAGTAGACACATAAATGAGGAAGAGAAAGGAATCAAGCACTGTCAATACACTAGACATCAAACCACAAAGAGGATAAAAGTGGAAGAATCAAGTAAAATTCAACCAGAAGAAAATCAATAAAAAGCAGGAAAAGTCTAAACCTTCGTGAGTGACTCAGAACACAAATGGTTTTAATTCTTCAGTTAAAAGATATGGGGTCAATGAATTTAAGAACAAAACCCAATGGTGTGCTGCCTCTAAAGGTTCAACTCACCAGTAAGAACACACTAAGACAAAAAGAAAGGATAGAAAATGGCGTTTCAAGCACATGGAATTCTAAGACAAGTAGGAATAGTTATGTTTATATCTAGCGAAACAGGTTGTCTTAGCTACCTCCTTGATGCTGGGACAGAGCATCTGCCACCCCAAGTTGCAGTAGGAAAGGCTTACTTAGTTCTCCATGTGTGGAGGTTTCAGTCCCTAGTTGGCTGGCTGCAGTGCAGCGCAGCATGGCGGAGGACAAACAGTTCATAGCAGGCAGCAGGAGGCAGGCAGCAGCCAGCTTCCTTTCCCTTTACATTCCGTCTAGGCTACAAGCCTACTGGTTGATGCCAGCCACACCCAGAGCAAGTCTTTTGTCTTCAATAAAACCATTTAGCCGCACCTACAACTATTACACTCCAATCAGTGGACTGATGCAGTTGTCACACCTTTAACCCAGCATCATACACCCGTGAACCACCTACCTCCCAAAACCCCACTTATAAGCACATGAGCTTTGAGGAACGTAGATACAAGCCATAACAGAGACTTTGAAACAAAAGAAAGAAGAGACAGACAAGTCACTATATACTGATCAAGGGATCAATTCATCAAGATACAAAGGTTTTAA